CTGTATTTTTCATTCATTTATGAAGGATAAATTTGCTGGATATAGTGTCTTTGGCTGACAGTTTTTTTCTTTCAGTACTTTGAATATATTATCCTATTCTCTCCTGGCCTGTATAGTTTCTGCCGAGAAATCCACTGTTAGTCTGATGGGGGTTCCTTTATGGGTGACCAGATGCTTTTTTCTCCTGCCATTTTTTAAAATGTTCTCTTTGTCATTGACTTTAAACAGTTTGACTATAATGTGCTGTGGAGATTACTTTTTGCATTGCCTCTGTTTAGGGATCTCAGAGCGTTCTGTATCTGGATATCTAAATCTTTTGCTAGGCTTAGGAACTTTTCACTTGATTAAGTAGGTTTTCTAGTCTTTCATTCTCTCTTCAAATTCTGGAACCCTGATGATTAGAATATTTGGTTGCTTTATTGTGTCTGATATGTCATGAGGTTTTGCTTATTTTTTTATGTGTGTGTGTGTGTGTGTGTGTGTGTGTATGACTGGGTCATTTCAAAAGACTTATCTTTAAGTTCTGAGATTCTTTCTTCTGCTTGATCTGGCCTATTGTCAAAACTTTCAAACATATTTTGTATTTTATTCAATGAATTTCGCAGTTACGAAATCAGGTTTTTTATTTTTTATTTTCATTTTTCGAAACAAGGTCTCGCTCTGTTGCCCTAGCTGGAGTGCAGTGGCATGGTCACAGCTCACTACAGCTTCAACATCCCAGGCTCCAGTGATCCACCCACCTCAGTCTCCCAAGTAGCACACCTGGGACCACAGGTGTGCGCCACCATGCCCAGCTAATTTTTGTATTTTTTGTAGAGATGTGGTTTCACTATGTTGTCCAGGCTGGTCTCAAACTCTTGGGCTCAACAGATCTGCCTACCTCAGCCTCCAGAAGTACTGGGATTATAGGCATGAGCCACGATGAGTGGCCCAGAATTTCTATTTGGTTCTTTTTTTATGATCTCTTTGGTTAATTTCTCATTTATATCCTGAATTCTTTTTCTGATTTCTTTGTATTGTTTTTCAGCATTCTCTTGTATCTCACTGACCTTCTTTAGAATCAATAATTTAAATTCTTTTTCTGGGATTCATTAATTTCTTTTTGATTGGGATCCGTTGCTGAAGAATTATTGTGTTCCTTTGGAAGTGTCATATTTTCTCGCTTTTTGGTTCCTGTGTCCTTATATTGATATCTGCACATTTGGTGTAACAATTGCTTCTTCCAATTTTTTTGAATTTGCTTTCATGGGGGAGGACTTTTTCCTGAAGATGTATCCATGATGTTGGTTGGGTAAGACACTGTCTTTGATTCTTGGTGTGTGCAGTAGTTTAGTCACTGTATGATTTCTTCAGCTGTAAACAATGTTAGTAGTATCTGTAATTTCCTTCATGGCTTCGGGTGCAGTTATTACTGGAGGCTGTGGTAAAGTTTTGCTGGGGCCTGGGACAACAGGTAGGCCAGTCTTTGAGCCCCAGGGGTGGCAGTGGTGGGCTGAGTTCACCTGTTCCTGGATCCCAGGGCTGCATATACCAGCACTGATATTAGTGGACCAAGGCAGCCCAATTTTTGGCCTCCAGTGGCTTATTTTGATGCTGGTAGTGGTAGTAGTGGACCAGGCAGGTGGGGGTGGTTCTTCAGCCCTTTGGCAGCCAGCATGGTGTGACAATGGCAGTGGCAGTGGTATGATGACCACTGGGTCCCAAGCTGTGTGTGATAGTGTTGTCAGTGGCTGAGATGGGCTAGGCAGACCAGTCTTGGGGCCCACAGGTAGCACATGCAGGTAGGTGCCAGCTATGGTGTTAGTGGCTCAGTGAGTAGGTCCAAACTCAGGGTTTGGTGAGGAGTGTTCTTGTTCTAGTGGTGTGGACTGGCATGGACAATACCCTGGCCCCTGGACTATGTGCTCTGGCACAATGGGTTGGGGGGTCTAAGCTGAGCCAGATGGGCTTTTCCTCAGGCTCTCTGATGGTGTGTGCAAGCACCAGCCATGGTAGGCTGGGTCAGGGCAATGTCCAGGCCACTGGCAGAATGCTCTGGTATGGACCACGAGTGACTGCACTGCTGCCCTGCCACTGAGGAGGGTGGTGCTACCTTCAGTAGCAAGTAGCGTAGGCCAGCAGGTGGAGAATGCACACACAATTCATGCCAGGAGTGCCTGCATCTCGACTCTTGCTGCAGAAGCCAGCGCCTCACTCACACCTCAGTTGTGGGTGTTGTAGCTTGCAGTTGCTTATGCCTAGGCCTTGAGGGCAGCAGCCCATGCTTCACTTGTTCCTCAGACTAGCGCTGTTGGGCCCCAGGATAGTACACAGCCCACTGGAGGTTGGGCTCTAAAATGACACCTTGCTGGAGCTGCTTATGTCTCAGAGAGTGTGTGGGACCCAAAGCAAGCACCCCACCCTGATTCAGGAGCCAGGAGGAATGCCGTCATACAATCTCCTGGCAGCTCCCTATGTTATTTTCAGGACTCACAAGAGTCTAGGGGATTTCCCATGGCTAGGATTGCAAAAGTCTACAGCAGAAATGTAGACCACTGAGAATCTTTCACTTAACCTTTCCCCACATTGAGGAGTCT